ATTAATGCACTCCCGGAACCCCCTGCTGCTGGCGCGAATTATTCAATGCAGTACCCTCGGGAGAACCATGGCTGCTGAAACGAAGCCAATGCTTGCGATGTACATTCAGATCACCAGGAATAATCGTACCGACGCTCTGTTCTGCGAGAGAACTCCATTCTTCACCGAGCGTATCAATAGATTGAATCTTTCCATGACAAGGATGACGATACCAACAAATTTTAATAGGCTCTGATTCTGTGTGCATCAAAATCCAAGCACGCTCTGCAGAGGGAGATCGGAGAAGGAGGGAACAAGAATCAGCAACCGAATCCCGTGCGAAAATCACAGCGCCACCCCCAAGACCGCCCCGGTCTCGACGGGCGACAAGAGAATAACCAAAAAGACATGGCTGCACTACCGACTCGCCAAGCCACGTCCAGATCTGTCAGACAAACTAAAAGGGGAAGGCAGGAAGAGAGGAAAGATAAGCATACAATTCGTCTTTGTGCGCGTCAAATCGGTGAATGCTGAGCGTTAAAGCAGTGAGATTGGTCCAATCAAAGGATGGCTCAGCCCGGGTTTCGCCGCGGCCACCATCCTGAGGTGAAAAAGAACACAGGAACAAATTATGCAAATCCTGTTGGCCCACGGGAGGACAAGGAGGAAAGGAAGAGAAAGAGACAGAGGCAGACAGAAAGCTGCGCTGCACTTCCCGGTCCGCTGGCCGGAAAGGCCGGGGCGAACGAACTCGAAATTCTGAACTGCGCTGATTTTCCGGGTCCGCTGGCCGGAGGGGCCAAGGCAATCGAACTCGAGAAAATAAGCTGCGCTGCACTGCCGGGCCCGCTGGCGGGAGGGGCCAGGGTAAACGAACTCGAAAAAATTAACTGCGCTGCGCTGCCGGGTCTGCTGGCTGGACAGGCCGGGGCAAGCGAACTCGAACAAATTATTTGCGCTGCGTTGCCGGGTCCGCTGGCCGGAGGGGCCAGGGTAAGCGAACTCGAACAAATTAACTGCGCTGCGCTGCCGGGTCCGCCGGCTGGAAAGGCCGGGCCGAGCGAACTTGAAAAAATGAATTGCGCTGCGTTGCCGGGTCCGCTGGCCGGGGGGGCCGGGGCAAGCGAACTCGAAAAATCCGGGTTCAGATTGCTTTCAAATTCCAGGGTAAGCCGGTTTGAAGTTTGAACGGTCTGGGGTAAGGCGGCTCGAAATATTTGGGTTAAGGCGGGTCGAAAAAAGCGGTTGGGCGGAATTCCGGCTTGGCCGCGAACATTGCTCAACAAGCCGCCGGTGAAGTGCAGATTCAGAACGAGGACCTCGTCGTCTCAAACGACGCGGTGGGGCAAAGTGAAGGGCGGGGGAACAAACGAGAGAAGAGGAAGGCAGAAATTGCGAACAAAATTGTGCGCGACCCGGTCAATTCAAGAGCGAGAGGTCTCCGAAAGGTGCAAACCCGAGTTCCTGCTTGACCAATGGCGCCGTCGATGCTCGCAGTGCGGGATTCCCAGTCGATCCGGATCGTACCGCGAGGGGCCCTGGCCTTCAATTTCTTGTCGGCTTCGCGAGAAGGACCAATCCCTAGTAGCATTCGAGCACCCACTCGCGGCCCTCATCTCCTCGATCTTCTTTTGTCTGATGTGCCAGATCTGCTCGCAACGAAAGTTTTAACAGAAGTAGCGGATCACAGTGCGACGTTGTGTTCAGTCTGTATGCCGCCGCTCACTTCTGAACATAGCGAGCGATGTTTGTGGCATTTCAAAGACGCCGACTGGCGCTCTATGAATCGACGCCTCTCCCAGCAGGATTGGTCTTGGATCGAACATTCGACGCCTGATATAGTCTTGTCTGTGTTAATTCAGATGTTGAAATATTTTATGACTTTGCACATTCTGTCTGTGCAGCAGAACGCGCAAGTTTCACACCCGTGGGTCACAGACGAATGTTTGCAAGCTGTTCGCGAAAAGCGGCAGGCTGCCGGACGCTTTCCCGGCCCCTGTAGCACAGTGCAGTGCCGTTATGCTGAACGATTTTAAGCTGCGCGCCAATCGTACACGCCAGAAACTTCGTGGTTTCGGTCGTGGTAGCAAGAAATGGTGGAAATTTTCGCACCAGCTCTTGTCGCATGTCCACAAGCCCACGTCCTCTCCTCTGAAGCGACCAGACGGCGCGTGGGCTCTCTCGGCCAGCGCCAAGGCAGAGCTTTTTGCACGAGCTTTCAGTCAAAAATGGCGTCTGCCAGCTCCTATTGTGAACGAGTTTTCTGATTGTTTTTCTGTTATGATTTCGCCAAGGAGATGGCAAGCTTGCGTAATTCGTTCGAGGTCCGCTCGTGCTGCGCTGTCGTCTCTCCGGCAGGCCGCCCAGCTCTCCAAGGTAGTTGAACGAATGTTTCTGCAATTATTTAGCCCTCAACTGGACAGATTCGGCGCGCGCGGCGCTCGTCAATTCGCATGCACTTCTGGCCGGGGGGCCCGGGGCGCAGTGCTGTATTTTGTGTTCCAATGTATCAGCGCTCTCTCCTCTGGTCGCCGCGTCCTGCTGTATTGCTCAGACGTCGGCGGCGCTTTCGATCGAGTCGACGTGCCGCGTCTGCTTGCGAAGCTGCGCGGCTTCTCCGTTCCAGAGAGCGCGCTCGGTGTCCTTGCTAGCTGGCTGGAGCAGCGCGCGGCGCGGGTTATCGTTCAGGGGCAGCATTCTGCCCCAGTGCGTATGGAAAACATGATTTACCAGGTCGCTGTACTAGGACCGCCTCTTTGGAATGCATTTTCTCGGTTTCCTGCATGGCTGTTCGGGCCGCGGGATTCGAAGAAATTGTTTACGCGGACGACCTGAATGCGATTCGCTCGGTCGAAAATAATGTTACAGACGACCAGGCGCGCCGCATGATGGCTGAATGTCAGACCTCTCTACACCGCTGGGGCGCTGCGAACAGGGTCGTCTTTGATCCTGGCAAGGAGTGTGCACGCATCCTGTCTCGCAGCCGGCCTGGGGGCGATTCTTTCAAGCTTCTGGGTATAGTATTCGACACGCGATTGCTTATGCATGAAGCCATTTTGGCATGTGTTTCTGACTGTGGATGGAAAATCCAGAGTCTGCTTCGTTGCCGCAGATTTTATAATTCGGCCGAATTACTTTTATTATACAAGGCCCAAGTTTGATCTTGTATCGAATATAGGACTTGTGCATTCCATTTCGCTTCTTCCTCTGCTCTCGCTCCATTGACGCCGTTCGAAACAGTTTTCTTCGTAGTATGGACATTTCGGATCTTGATGCCCTCAATCACTTTGTTTCGGCTCCGCTGTGTGCAAGAAGAGACATCGCAATGCTTGGGATTATCCATCGTTCTGTGCCTGGTCTCAGTCCCGGTCACTTCGCTTCTTTCTTTCGCCCTGCCCCCCCTCCCCCTCCTCGTTCCCCTCGTCGCCGCGACCGGTACCTGGCTGACCCTCCCCAGCTTCGTGCCCCAGATTTTGCCCGGCGCTCCGTGCTAGGCCTTGTCAGCGTCTACAACCTCCTCCCAGACGGCGTGGTCGCTGCTCCGTCAGTTCACGAATGTCAGTCTCGCTTGCAATGTCTAATGCGTGATGTGGCGAATTCCGGCCCTGACTGGGCGCATCTCTTCAGCTGCCGCGTCCCGCTCGCACATCACCGCCTGCGCGGCTGCAGGGATTGGCTTCCTCCCGTTTAATCTGAGTCTTTCTTTTTCGTCCCTTCTTCCCTCCCTTCCCCTCCCTCCCCCTTCGTCCCCCTCCCTTTCTCCTTCTGCGCGCCGCTGTCGTTCTCGCTGTCGTCCGCCGTGCCCCTTCCTCCTCCTTCCTTTCTCCTCCACCCCCCCCGGCCGCCGTGTTTGGAGAGCATGGTGCGTGCGTCGCCGCCTTTTGGGGTTTGCCGCCCCCCGCTCGCCTCCTCTTCTTTTTTCTCTCCTCGTCGTTTGTCGTCTGCTGCCGCTCCCTCCTCCCCCCTCCCTCCCTCCCTCCCTCCCTCCTCCCCCTCCCTCTCCTTCTTCCTCGTCCTCCCTTCCGCTTTCCCGAGGTGTTTTGCCGCATTTTGATAGCTTTTCCAACCGGCGTTCGGCTGGCCGTGCTGCTTCCGAGCGATCCGGAAGTTTACAGCATGAAGATGAGGTTTGTTTTTGTTGGCCTTCTCCTTCTTCCTCCCGCAACTCTTTAAGCTGTAATTTTCTGGTGCATTCAGATTATGTTGAGACTTCAGTGTGGCTTGGTCATTCGCTGCGAGGCGGGTAGAAAAAAAAAAAACGAGCTCAAGCTATCACATTGCGTGTCGCTGGGGCGGTCTGCTACCACCTCTGACACCATCCGACTGAGCCTGTCGCTGGGGCGGTCTGAGATTAAGCCTGTCGCCGGGGCGGTCAGACATAGTCATTCACTGTACTCTCTCTCTCTCTCTTACATTTGTTATCGTTTGAGTTTGCAGTCGTGCTAGGTGCAGCCGGTGCCGAGCCTTTTCCAGCAGCGACTGTCTTGAAGCCGCACTTCCAGGAACCCGCAAGTTGGTCGCTTGAACATCGCCAGAGACAAGTTCAAAGCAGTTCTTTCTCCAGAGAGTGCGGCTCGCGCAGCAGCTCAGACTTTGATGGGCCACAGCGAGAGCGTGTTGACCGGCCAGTTCGCACCGGCGCCTGCCCCCCCTGGTGTGGAAAGCGGCGCAGTCGGGGCCGGCCCTTTGGGTGGCAGTCCTGGCGCGGGTGAGCCGAGTGCTGCTTCTGCAGCATCTCCCGTTGAAGTTCCCGCCCCTGGTGGCTTGGCCAACGGTGCGAGCGACGGCCCTTCGGGTGGCATTGCAGTCGCGGCTCTTGAGACAGGCCCTATGGGTGGCAGTGTCAGTGAGAGTCAGCCAGGTGGTGGTTCTGTCCCCCTGGCCCCGGGCGCGGGTTCCATCCCCCGGGTGGTGCTTTTGGAACCGGCCTTCCGGGTGGCAGTTCCAGGCTGGGCGCGGATTCTGTCCCCCCAGGCGCGGGCGCGGGTTTTGCCCCCCCGCCGGCACCTGCCCTCCCCGAGTTCCCGTCCGAGGGTTCTGTGGGATTAAAGGCCATTTTCGGCTTGCTGCAATCGATGAACAACAACATGGCGACGAACGCCGGGCTGACTACCCTGCGCCAACAGATCACGACAGAGACCAAATTGTCGATTTCTGCAGCAGTGGACCCTCTCAAGGACGAGATGCGGGAGTTGACTGACCGGGTTGACTACTTGGAGATGCAGAGTTCCAGTTCCTCTGGCCGGACAGGCAAGCGCCAGCTCGCGCTCCTGAGCAGTCTGGACATTTCGAATCGTCGAGTCGCGTTCGTCGGTTTTGAGATCAACGATTTGGCTTCCCGAGTGACGCAGATGAAGACCTACGCGTCGACATTGTCAAACGTTCCGCCCTGCACCTCCGAAGGTCACTTCTTCACCGGCCCCAGCCAGATCGTGAGCAAGGTGTCTTTTTTAGAATTTGCTTCGCCTGAGCGCGTCCAGATTTTTTTGAGGATTTCGAAGGGCACGCCCATGCGAGTAGACGGGAAATCGATTTTGTCTAAACCCGCCAAATCTCAGGTGAACTTGCAGAGGGATTGGTCTATTCGGAGAGCTTCCGAGCTCTTGAAGGGCGCCGCGCCCAACCAGGCAATCAGGATCGAATGGCAGTTGCGGAAAGTCTTCGTCGGTTCTGATTCTAATTCTGCGTTTGAGCAGGGGCCTGGCGATATAGAAGGTGTTTTCAATGCGCCTTTCTCTCACCTCCGGTTCCCGTAAGGACTCGGGGGGGCCTGCTCTCGCACTGACGTTTTCCGCGTTTTGCGTTCCGTCCACGGTTTAACCGTCAGTGCGTGGCCCCCGGGGAATTCCCGACGATTGCGTCGGAGAGGGCCTCGATCTCAAGATCGTTTATTGCAGCGTTCGATGTTTAAGAATGCATCTCGGCTTACCCGGGATATTCCCAGAAGTTCGAGTCGCCTTACTTCTCCTCGTCTTCCTCCGCCCTATGTCCCTTCTGTTCCTCCAACTCGTTCTGCCCAATCGAATCTGCATCAATTCTTCGCACCGTCGCCGAACAGTTTGCCTCGGGGCAAGGAGCCGCGCGAATCCAACTCCGCACTGTCCCTCGCTTCCTTCGACCTCGCTGTTTTCCATGTGAATATGCAAAGTTTCACTCCGAAGCACCAGGCTGAGCTCGAGGCTCGTCTTCGTCTCCTCGTTTCCCTTCCTACTTGTGTTTTTGTTAGTGAGACGTGGCTTGATTATTCCTGCCCTGCTCCTGTTCTTTCTTCATGCACCGTCATTGCCAGAAAAGATCGAGATTCTCTAGGTGGAAGAGTTTTAATATTTGCTTTAGATATCCACGCTCATCTATTCTCCCCGCTTCAGAATTTTCTGGCGGCTGAATTAATTTGAGTTTTCATGCATTATGATTGTGGGTCCATTTTAATGTGTTGTTTCTATCGCCTTCCGTGCCACGGCGAAGTCAGTAGTCTGCACGATTTAATGCAAGAGTGGTCTTGGCATTCTTCGAATGCAGTCGGGTCTGTTTTAGTTGGTGATTTTAACGCGCGTCAGAAGAATTGGCTTTATTATTCGAATCGCAACTCTCCGGAGGGCGCGGCCCTTCGCGAGTGGTGCATCAGCCACGGACTTTTCGAGAGAGTTCGTAAACCGACTCGTCAAAGGCATTTGTTAGATTTCGTATTGACTGACATGCCGGATTTAGTGTCTGCAGAAGTCTTGGCCGAGTTAGCGGATCACAATGCTGTGCTTGGTGTGTTGTTCTCCCGCCTCTTGCAGTCGAAGAGCAGTCGCGCACTGTTTGGGTTTACAAATCTGCGAATTGGGCGGCCCTGAAAGCGTCGATTCGCCGGTCAGATTGGAATTGGATCGATGCATGTACGCCCAATGAGGCTGCTCATCGTCTTACGTTGTTTCTCCTTGAGCGCGTGCACGATTGTATCCCCAAGTGTGATTGAAGGTTTTCTGCTTCCCATCCCTGGCTTGATGCCGGTACTCTGGCCCTTGTGTCTGCTATGGTGGCCGCTGCAGGGGCTCCCGACTTCCCGCTGGCAGCGCAGGCGTGCAGTGTAGGGTTGTTACATGTTTATAACAATTACTCATTACGTGTTCGTGCCAAACTGCAATTTTTCAAGGAACAGTTCTAAGCAGTGGTGGCATCTTTCGCGCGAGTTGGTTAGTAGAAGATGTAATGCTGCTTCGCCTCCTCTGAAAAATCCGGCCGGGACCTGGATTTTAGACCCTCATGGCAAGGCGAATTTGTTTGCACATGCTTTCACTTCCAAGTGGTTTTTGCCGGCTCCTGTGCGTAACGAGTTCAGTGTCCTTCCACCTTGCCGTCTTCTCGACGTATTCGTGCCTCTCCGTGGGCGTGCAGCATTCCGTGTCTTGTTTTCTTTGCGTGTAGACAGCGGGGCCAGGCCTGATTTTTTAACCCGCGAGAGTCCTTAAGACGTGCGCTCGAGAGCTTACGCTGCCCTTCTCGAAGCTCGCGCGGCTGATTGTGTCCCGCGGCGAGTGGCCTCACGTGTGGACAGCGCAGTGGATCCACCCGCTGCGCAAGCGGTATTCTGTGCACAACCCGGACCACTACACAGGAATTCATCTCACTGCACAGTTGTCCAAAGCAATGGAGAGATTTCTAGGCGAGCAGTTCATGCCCCGTGCTGTTTCCGAAGGCTGTTTTGGCAAGTTCCAATTCGCTTACACGCCCGGTCGTGGTGCCAGGGACGCATTGTTGTGTCTTGTCTTGCTGTGCATTCAGACTTTCGCTGGAGGCGGACGTGTAGGACTGCATTGCTCAGACGTCTCTGGTGCATTCGATCGTGTATGCACGGAACGATTCTTAAAGAAATTAGCAGCGTCGCGTATTCCACGCAGTATATTTAATGTAATTCGGAGCTGGTTTGCGCCTCGTTCCGTGAATGTCGTGGTGGGCGGAGCCCATTCGGAAGTAATTCAAATGTTGCACATGGTGTTCCAAGGGACTGTTTGGGGCCTTCCGTTGTGGTATTTCTTTTTCCGAGATGCTTCCGAAGCTATCCTGGGCTTAAATTCTAGAAGAAACTGTGTACGCAGACGAGTTTAACGCCCTGAAAGCTTATCTCGGTACTGCCGGCACGCCGTATATTCTGTCGAACTTACGGGAGTGCCAAGCCACGCTGCACTTCTTGGGGCCAGGCGAACAGCGTTATTTTCGACGCTGGCAAAGAGAGTCACCACATTCTGAGTCACAGGCACCCTCACGGTGACTCTTTTAGGCTCCTTGGTGTTTCATGTGACTGTCAGCTTCGCATGAACGCTGCTATCGACGAATGTGCTGCTATATGCCACACGCGTATCATGTGTTGGTTGCGTATTCGGCGTTTTCACACTTTCGGAAATGGTGCTTCTCTACAAAAGCCATGTCTTGTCATGCGCAGAGTGCCGCACGCCTGCGATTGCGCACGCTTCGTGTTCTGCCCCCCCACGTGGTAGACGCTGTGCAAGACAGGTTTTTGCGCGCCATCGGTCTCGCAGCCGAAGCCGCATGTGTTCAATTTAACTTGGCGCCGCTGTGTTGCCGCCGAGATATTGCTATCTAGGGCGTTCTCCACAGGTCTGCAATCGGGCGTGGCCCTTCGATGTTTCATTCTTTGTTCCGCCTCGACTCCTGTCTTCCTCCCCCCCGTGCCCGTCGTCGCCACCGTCGCCATCTGATTGATCCATGCACTCTGCGTGCCCAGCAATTCGTCACGCAGTCCGCCTTTGGTGCCGTGCGCCTATACAACTTGTTGCCTGACTTTGTTACGAATTATTTTGGTTGCGTGACGAGTTCGGGCGTCTGGATACTTGAAACTAGCGCGCTTGATGAATTCTTTGGGATCTTGTGCCAAACAGTTTTGTAGTTCCTCTGCAGCTCGAGTTACCTCAAGGAAGTTACCATCATCTTTTTAACATTTAGCAAAGTACGAATGATTTTCTGACCCAGGTAGCAGACCGAATTCAGGCGTCTAGATACTTGAGACTAGCGTTCATTATAGTTTCCGTTCGATGTATGTGCCAGACAGTTTTGTAGCTCATCTCCAGCTCGAGTAAAGTCTAGAAAACCATCGATATCTCAAACAAATTAGCAGAGTACGACTAGGTTTACGCGCCCAGCCCTCACAGCAGATCGAGTTCAGGCGTTCAAATACATTAGTATCGCGCGACTGATTTTTTCTTTTGATTGTTGTGCCGAACAGTTCTTCAGCTCGTTTGCAGCTCAAGTTTAGCCATCTCTATAACATCAGCAGAGAGCGAATATTTGTTCGGACCCAGCTGTGATAGCAGACCGAGTTCAGGCGTCTAGATAATTTCAGTAAGCGCGCTTGATGATTTCCTTCTAATTGATTTGCCAAGCGGCTCTGTAGTTGATGTGCAGCTCGAGTTAAGTCAAGAAAACCATCATTATCTCCAAAAAAAAAAAGAGTATGGTTTCGGACCGAACTCTAATAGCAGACCAAGTTCAGGCGTCTAGAAACTTGAGATTCGCCAACCTGATGATTTCTTCCCGACTGTTGTGCCGAAGAACTCTGTAGCTCATCTGCCGCTCGAGTTAAGTCAAGAAGTCCATCATCATCTCGAGAAGCAAGAGTAGAGTACGAATAGTTTCGCGGACCTAGCTCTGGTAGCAGACCGAGTTCAGGCGTCTAGCTTCGTTAAACTAGCGCGCCTGATGATTCCCGTCTGACTGCTTTTCTCAGGAGCTTTGTCGCTCAGCTGCAGCTCGAGTTAATTCAAGAAGCTAATCTTCATTTCGACAAGAATTAGTAGAGTACGAGTAGTTTCGCGGACCTAGCTCTGGTAGCAGACCGAGTTCAGACCTCTGGATGCTTCAAACGAGCGCGCCGGATGAGTCTGGATCGATTAGATGTGCGTATCAGCTTTGTAACGCTCCTACAGCTTGAGTTAAATACAGAAAACCGACAGCACTTGTCAAGATGACCGGAACAGCCGATCCCGCCTGGATGCTTCTTGGCAGTAGTAGGTGCCCGATCGACCTGAGATTCAGATGGCGAGTGGGAATGAGATCGAATAGGGGTGGAACAAAAATAGAGCTCTATTCAAATTTCGAGAAATCGAATTTAAACATGTCAAAAAGACAAAACTTCCGTCGAGATTTTTTGCCCACTAGCCCCCCAGCGCGCCGGAGTTACTCTTCCAGCTTCGCCGCTAACGCTCTTAGGGAAACTTTACGAGCTTGTTGTTTGGCCGTCGTCGTAGTAGATGGGGGTAGTCGTCTTCCTTGATCTGCTTCCTCCTGGTAGTCGTCGTCGTCGTCGTCGTCGAGGCCAACGTCATCTTCAGTTGGCTTTCGACCTCAACGAGGGCGAAGTTGTCCCCAATATGATTCGTGATGAGTTGCTTACCTTCTTTGTCCAGTCCAGTTCGCCGAAGGAGGAACGATCCCAGAGTGT